AGGCGCACGCACAGAGCTGGACCTACTGCTGAGGACTGAACCAGGGTTGCAGTCCACAGTGCACGTGGTTTTTCTAGCGGTTTTCTTGAGGGGTTTGGAGGACAGGCGCAGAGACAAGTCTCCTAGTTCCCTTTGTCTCCCCCGGGTAGCCTGCAAATCCCACACAGAACCGATGCTCACGGACATGCGACGCTAACCTTTCCCTGAGAAATCAAGATTGAAAACCACAATCATACTCTGGGAGCCGCGAGCGGGAGGATCGCTCAAGGTCAGGATTCAAGCCGGCGCTGAGCAAGAGCGAGATTCCCCCCCCCCTCGTCTCTGGCTATAAATAGAAAGAAATTAATTACTTAACTAAAATATATATGAAAAAAGTAGCCGGCATGTGCGCATGCCTGTAGTATCCCAGCTACTCTCGGGACGGCTGGGAGGCAGGATCGCTTGAGCCCAGGAGTTGGAGGTTGCTGTGAGCTAGCGCTACACGGTGCAGCCTGTTCCTCCTCACCTGCACTGCATGTTACCTCACTGATACTGCACACCTGGGCTACACGGTGCAGCCTGTTCCTCCTCAACTGCACACCTGCACCGCATGTTACCTCACTGATACTGCACACCTGGGATACACGGTGCAGCCTGTTCCTCCTCACCTGCACACCTGGACTGCATGTTACCTCACTGATACTGCACACCTGGGCTACACGGTGCAGCCTGTTCCTCCTCACCTGCACCGCATGTTACCGCATTGACCGCTGCAGGCCACTGCAACTCGACGGTGAGCATTTGTGTATCTACATATAAAAAATGTAGCGTGAGAATACGGTATCACGATCGCACGTGGCCACCACAGCACACGCTGTTGTTGAGCAAAACATCGCTACGCAGCAGGGGACCCTAATCTTAAAACTCCGGCATCAACACAGGCACAAACATCTGCACACAAAGTCAGGCAAGGCCAGCTCTAGTGCTTGTTCTTGTTTTGGTGCCCGGAGGATGCCTTTCCACATTCCACCCAAGAACGGCACCCTGCCCCGAAAGCAGAGAGCCTTGAAAGGCAGAACAGTGACCCCAAAACAGAAAAAAAAAATGAAAGCTCCAATTTGACATCTGAGCCTCAAAAACAACCCCAGAGCGCAGCGGTAGCACCTCGGACGCACTTCACGACAGGATCGTAAATCCTGGAGGACGTTGTTTCCCTCCTGAGCTCGGTTCCCTTCTGCAGGGACAGAGACCTTCTTGCCGGGCACAGAGTCCCCGAGCCGGCTTGAGGGCGGGTGTAGCCACCGGGCTGGAAGTTCCTTAAGCTGAGAGCAGCCGCCAGAGAAACCCGCTCAATAACGGGGAGAAGCGAGGTACAAAAGTGGGGAGGGGGGGAAGGACGCAGAACAAACCAAGCAACGAAGGACGGCGCCGAGGCCTTGGACCGAGGAATCGACACCTCGGGGAAAGAAAAAAACCAGAGGGGGAGACTCCGAGAGGGTGCGAACCGCATTCTGTTTCCAGGGAAGAAAGAAGGTTCCAGGGGGTGTGTTGGGCAGACAGGTGCCCCCTGGAAGAGGCAGCCAGTGAGTCCCAATCGCACCTGTGCGAAGAGGCACAAGCGACAAGCTGGGCAGAAGCCCCAGGGCGGCAGCCGCGGCCACCTGGATCACGAGGGTGGCCGGCACGCTCCCGGCACCCAGAAAAGGGAAGAGAAGAAGCGTTTTCTCCTGGAGAGCCGCGACTTATCCGCAGATGAGTCCAGTGAGAGAGGGGAGCTCCCTTGCCACTACTGGACTGCTCTAGCCGGAGCAGCGTGGAGCCTTCCGGTAAGTTCCGGAAAGGCCCCTGACTGACAGCAGATGTGTAACTCCTCAAATTTGGTAAAAAAAAAAACGAGCATGGGCCACGTATGTGCATATTCTAGATAAAGGACTTCTGCCACATGTTAGAGTTTTGGCCATTTTGAAAGAGAAACCTCCTCAAATGATATTAGATTGAACCACATGAAATTAACATTTTTTTTTTTTTTTTGTAGATCAGAAACAATCAAATACTAACAATTTCATATGGGTCAGTTGCAGGACACGCCTCCCAACTCTCTTCTGTAGCAAGGGTAGACAAACTCCTTTGCATCCTCAGATATTTTAGGCTCGGAGGGCCAAGAGATAAAACGGAAATGATGTTGGTACTTACATAACCATTTAAAAATGTCACCATTTAAAAAATACAAAAACCACCCTCAGCTGCTCCGAAAACAGGCATGGGTCGGGATGGGGCCCAGTGGCCATCGTTCGCCCGACTCTGTTCCGTGGTATACAAGTGCAAACTTTATTCTAATTATGTTCACCGCGAAAATCGCTGATTTCAGAGTAAAACAATAGGGCCTTTGGAGATACTACAGGGACACGTGAAAAAGCTGTTTGCCCAAACACTGCTGGTTTTAAAGCTAGTCGCTGCTCCGAATCCCTAATCTGTTGTCAGCAATCTCTCTCCATTCCCATAAAATGTTTCTTTTTTTTTTTTTTTCCATTATCTGGTTTACTTGATAAGCAATTGTCCGGGTTGAGGGCTTGTGGGTGGTTCTAACTTTTCTACAAAAATAAAACACGGAGCCGTACAAGGAAATGGGACTTACAGGTGAACACGAATAAACGTCACTACGGAAAGGGTCTGGGAGCAAAGGCACTGTGGGGAACCACCCCCAAACACACCCGATTTGAAGCCAAAAATTCCAGAGGGCTCCGAGTTGAGCAATGAAAACAAATATCCGCACAGCTGGCCCAAGGCTCAGAGACCAACGGGAGCAAAAAATAAGTCCGAGACAAACTATGCTTTATATAAATAAAGACAGGGCGTTAAATGGGCAGTAATCGCTTTTCTCCTAAGTTAATCAGGGCTAACGAACGGCAAATAGGGAAAGGCTGCGTGTGAGGCAGTTCCCGAAAGACGGGTGGAAAAACCTGAGAGTTGGGAGATCTCGAAAGGCATCCCGGCGGGAACGGAAAGGGTTCCCTCCTTTGGAGAATGTTAAGGAACATGACCTGGGACTCTGTCTCCCTCATACATATTGAACACAGACACACCCAGAGGACATGCATGTTGGGCCCATGATTTTTTTTTTTATTTCAAAGGAATTCAAACAATCACTGGGAAATGCTTTTCATTTAAGGCATTACTCTTGTTTCAAATGTCATATATATATATATATATATATAAGAGATTCTGTCCAGGAATGGATGCATTGAAACAGAACAGGGAGATTGCTGATATATACTTGTAGTCTAACGGGGCTACTCGATAATAAAAACCCTAATTTACATGGGCAATATATGTAACCTTAACACTTGTACCCCCATAATATGCTAAAATAAAAGAAATAAGAAATAAACAAATAGATCCTAATTTAGATAACATTTCTCACCCTTCAATATTAAAAACTTACTCTAGGGCAATCTGTTCTCCTGTATTTCTTTGTTTTTTTTCTTATAATACTAATTATAATCAAGCTAATTTTTTCTATATATATTAGTTGGCCAATTAATTTCTCTCTATTTATAGTAGAGACGGGGGTCTCGCTCTTGCTCAGGCTGGTCTCGAACTCCTGACCTCGAGCAATCCACCCGCCTCGGCCTCCCAGAGCGCTAGGATGACAGGCGTGAGCCACCGCGCCCCCCTGGCCTGTTCTCCTGTATTTCCAAACACTCTCATTTGAATCTCACAAACCTTCGCCAGTTCAGGACCCCGCGATATTCTGCAATGGAAATCAAGGGGAGAAGAGGCGGAGAGACCCAAGGCATACGTACCGGAGCTGCCGGGACCACAGTGAAGCTCCGGGCCCCGTCTGCCCATAGCGACGACGTCAGCACATCGGCAGGTGCCTCGGGGGGTCCCACGTGCTCGGGAAAGACTGGGGGTGTGCTCAGCTGTTGGGAGGGGAGACAAAACAAGGCAGAAACAAAACAGAGGCTTAGGACAGTGGCTGCGATTTTTCTTTGCATTACAAAGCTAACAATGAGCACAAATTTCCAGACAACCACGTCTATGAATTTTTCCCAGTCACAGCTGAGATGAGGCCTCCCGGCCACCGGAGGCAGGGCCAGGGCACACAGCCCCTGGACAAGTGCGACCGAGGCAGGGGCCACTGCCAGCCCTCGATCGGGGCTGGCCCCTTGTCAGAAGTCCAGGAAATCCCACGGATGCGTTTTCAACCCATTCCTCCTTGACGTCGGGGAGAAGCACTAGCCTGGCTCTCTGCCGTGACGTCTGAACTAACCTCCCATCAACACCCTAAAAACTTGCAAGGAAAAAAGAAAATTTTCTGTATGGGAGAGGTTGGGCATCAAGTTGATTTAAAAAAAAAAACAAACAAGCAACTTTTCATCGAAGAATCACACACATATACACAAAAGTGCACACGCTGCAAGTTGAGAACTCAGTGGATTTTCCTGAGCCGAACGCAGCAGATCAAAAACGGGAAAGTCCCCTTCCTGCTCCCTTCCAAAGGCAACTCCTACACTTAGGTGGCTTTTGCCTATGTTTGTGGACATTGAATTAATTTACTGTCCTGATGAATTTTTCATTTAATAAACATATTCTGAACACCTACCGTGTTCCCCCGACCTACCCACAAAACAAGCCCCGTAGCAGGATGTCTAAGCATGTGTGCAATAGAAGCCCTACCCCGAAAATCAGCCCTAGTGATGGGCGTGGCTGTGCAGCACATCTGCACAACCCATGCGTGTCGTCGCGGAGCGGGAAAGAACACGAGCAGCCCTTCTCATCTGCCCCGTTGTGACAGCTACTATCCCAGAGGTGACCGGAAAGGTGCGGGCAGCCCCACCAACAAGGTCGGCTCCCCCGGTCGGGTCCCGGCCATCCTGTGCGTGCTGCAAGCTGAGGCTTGGAGGGGAAAATGACACATCCCCTGAAAATGAGCCCTAGGGTGTCTTCTTGAGGAAAAATAAATATAAGACCCTGTCTTGTTTTCGAGGAAACAGGGTTCGTTTTTTCCTGTACATCTATACCTAAGACAAAGTTTAATTTATAGATCTGGCACAGTGAGAGATGAAGAATAACCCATAATAAGATAGAGCAATTATAACAATACGCTATAATATAAGTTCTGTGAATGTGTTCTCTAGCTCTAAAAATATCTTACTGTACCATACCATGAGTGATTGGCACCACAGAAAGCAAAACCAAGGATATGGGGTACTATTATAAAGGTAAATCTGGGCCGGGCGCAGTGGCTCACGCCTGTCATCCTGGCACTCTGGGAGGCCGAGGCGGGAGGATCACTCAGGGTCAGGAGTTCGAAACCAGCCTGAGCAACAGCAAGACCCCATCTCTACTAAAAATAGAAAGAAATGAATTGGACAACTAAAAATATACAGAAAAAACTAGCCTGGTGGGCACGGTGGCACGTGCCTGTCGTCCCAGCTACTCGGGAGGCTGAGGCAGGAGGATCGCTTGAGCCCAGGAGTTTGAGGTTGCTGTGAGCGAGGCTGACGCCACGGCACTCACTCTAGCCTGGGCAACAGAGTGAGACTCTGTCGAAAGAAAGAAAGAAAGAAAGAGAAAGAAAGAAAGAAAGAAAGAAAGAAAGAAAGAAAGAAAGAAAGAAAGAAAGAAAGAAAGAAAGAAAGAAAGAAAGAAAGAAAGAAAGATCTGGCTACAGTAAGTTTATAATTAACAGTGCTGGAATGTCAGAGGCAACAGACCAAAGGAAATCAGTGTTCTTGAAAATAGTTGGCAAGGCTCTTTCTGGAGAGGGAATTGACAAGTAAATAGTTGAAGATGTAGACCTTGAAATTCCTGGTTTCTGGCACGCTACTCCCCCAAAATCAAGTAGCCCAACCCTGCTTGAAGGTAAACAAACATGTGTGTCGAGGTTTTGTAAGGTGAGCACACCCAGAGGAGAACTTAAGAGTATCAAAAAGCGGCCGGGTGCGGCGGCTCACGCCGGTCATCCTAGCACTCTGGGAGGCCGAGGCGGGCGGATCGCTCGAGGTCAGGAGTTCGAGACCAGCCTGAGCAAGAGCGAGACCCCCATCTCTACTATAAATAGAAAGAAATGAATTGGCCAACTAAAACTATATATAGAAAAAATTAGCCAGGCATGGTGGCTCACGCCTGTCATCCTAGCACTCTGGGAGACCGAGGCGGGAGGACTGCTCAAGGTCAAAAGTTCAAAACCAACCTGAGCAAGAGCGAGACCCCATCTCTACTATAAATAGAAAGAAATTAATTGGACAACTAAAAATATATAGAAAAAACTAGCCTGGTGGGCACGGTGGCATGCCTGTAGTCCCAGCTACTTGGGAGGCTGAGGCAGGAGGATCGCTTGAGCCCAGGAGATTGAGGTTGCTGTGAGCCAGGCTGACGCCACGGCACTCACTCTATCTAGCCTGGGCAACACAGAGCTAGATAGAGTGTTGTCTATCTAGCTCAAAACAAAACAAACAAAAAGAATACTGAGACAAACAACACACTACTCACTTGAATGCCAGCCATCAAGGAAAGGAAGGGAATATATTTACCAGTCCACCAAGTGTGCAGTGTGCAGCTTTTTAATTACTGCATTTATGGTGCTATCCATAAAACATTCACGACCACAAATGAATTGCAAGGTGATTAATCCTCAACAAGTACATTAATGCTCCCCTCCTCTCCCTACAGATTCTCACTATGCTGCTGTGGGGCAGGTATGCCGAGAATTCTCTCCTGAGTAAACATTTCATGCCAACAGCCACCAGCTCCACTATCTCCACTTAACTATTTTACGATGCCGTAATAGCTCTGCTCAAGTATTTGCCGCCCTGGACCCAAAAGATGCATTTTTGTACACGAAATTGTTAAAAAAAAAAAAAAAAAAATGGCTGGCTTGGCTTCAAGCAACATTTTTTTTACAGAAAGTTGGCACAAGCCATTATTGGTTGCTTATGCTCTTCAAAGATAAGATATTCTGTGATTCCATAATTGTAATTCTCTGCATTACTTTGCGGTTACAATACAGTATAATTTCTGCTTTTTAGAGGTCTCAAGGAGTAAGACATTGAGAATGATCAAGATTTTTATACTAGCTGAAGGACCACCCACCTAAATATTAAAATGGGTTTGATTTCAACCACCGTGGATTAAATTTTTATTTTTAAAGTAATGCCTTAATGTGTAGGTGTGCCAACATATTAAAATAATACCGGTGGAGGCCTTTAAGAATCAAACAAATGAAAAATAAAAGCAGTACGAGGTGAAAAGATTAGCAGAAAGAAAAAGGAAAAGGAATAAAATTGTTGTTATTTTAGCTTCCAGTAAAATTTCCATCATCTATCTTACCAGAGCTGTTTTTCCCCGAGCCCTGCATTCAGTAATCTAATCACCCAATCTGTGAGAACCACAAGGGGATGCGCCCATCTCATTAAAAACGGTGATCACTTGAACTGCAGTAATGAGAAAGAGCATCTATTTTTGGTTTTAAGGACAGAAGCATTTCCTGCCTGTTGCTCCGAGGCAGCGACACTCCGGCCAGGACCTTTAGCACCGGGCAGACGCCCAGCACTTTTTTTTTTGGTCTATCATGATGACAACAACAGGAACCTCCGAATAGAAATGTTCCCTCCCAGAACTTCTTCACGCTCTCATTCTCGATTTATCAACAAAAGAACACGAGGTGTCTGGAACAGAAGAATATTAATTCTACCGCGTGAAAGTAAACATTATTATTATTTTATTTTTTTAAAGAAAGAGTCTGTAAATTCTGGATTCGAAATCAGATCAGATTCAGTGTAACCCTGGAGGACATAAAATAAACCCTGTAGGGTTTGAAAAAGGGCTCCCCTCTTGCTTTCCAAGGGGTGAATAAGGCCCAAAACAATTTTAAGATAATCCTTCACGTGCCTTAATAATATAGTAAACGCTGTAAAAAGAAATCAGTTGTTAAAGTTCAAACTGGAGTAATGAGTGAAATTTAAGGAGAGACGTGAAGGAGGGTATTTGGTTCTGATTTTTGCCGTGCTGTTTATATGTTCAGTTGAGGTAACCCTTTGGCACATCATATTATAAAATCTTTTGCATTTTGTAAGAGAGACTCCGAGTGACTTTTAATAGGAATATAGGATGCCATGGTCTGATAACTCAGCCCTGCATCAGCCCTCAAGAATTTAAACAGTCCAGGCCAGACCCAGCGGTTCATGCCAGTAATCCCAGCACTCCGGGAAGCCGAGGCGGGAGGATCACCAGAGGTCAGGAGTTCCGAGATCAGCCTAAGCAAGAGCGAGAGACGCATCTCTGCAAAAAATAGATAAATTAGCAGGGTGTCTCGGCGTGTGCCTGTAGTCCCAGCCGCTTGGGAGGCTGAGACAGGAGGATGGCTTAAGTTTGAGGTTACAGTGAGCTATGATGACACCACTGCACTCTAGTCTGGGCGACAGAGCGAGTCCCTATCTCAAATAAAAGAACAAGCAGAAGATTCCAGGAAAAATGTCATGCATGCATATATAAGAACCAAGAGATAAGCCATTGTGTTGTACTGTATTTCAGAATTTGGGGATGAAAAAGCAGTATATAAATAGAATGCTAAGCAAAAAAATATTTTTTTTAATATGCTATACAGGAAAGAAAATACAATAGTATACTGCATAGCTCAGCTCTGAAAAATATTTACAGTGAAAACAAATTGAGATGAATTGTCTTAGAGAGTAAAGGGCAGGTATTTAAGGGAGGGAGAATAAAGGAAAGCTAAACCCTTATCTTCCTTGATGGAAATTGATATTTAATGGCTAAAATTGAAAAGAGAATTCGAGTCATACCAATGTAAACATATTAATCTGTTACATGGAAGTAAACACCAGAAAAGCTAAATGAATTGAAAGTAATTGCTTCTGAGAAGTGTAAAAAGGCAACGCAAATTAAGTGGGGCAGGAGTTTGTAAGCCAAATACATGCATGAGTTATTGTAATTAAAAACGAACCATTAAAGGGGTAGAAGTTGATCAGTGAAACATAAAAACTACCCAACTGTGTAAGACAAACCGATAACGTGAAATTTCATTTTCTGTATAAATAAGAAAACAGATAAATCTTAATCTGTGTCTCCTAGTTAGTCGAACTGTTAAAATTCAATTTAATGCATTTTATCTTACTTCAGAGAGGTCAAATATGCCTAAATCTTGACACCTCTAGCTTTGGTTAACGCATGGAGAGAGGGTCCCTGAAACCAGTGCACAGAAACAACTTTGTTGTCTTTGTGATCACAGAGCTCATGAGCTGCAGCTTCACCTGGATAAAAAAAAAATCCTGATCGGCCGGGCGCGGTGGCTCACGCCTGTCATCCTAGCACTCTGGGAGGCTGAGACAAGCGGATCGCTCAAGGTCATGAGTTCGAAACCAGCCTGAGCAAGAGCGAGACCCCGTCTCTACTAAAAATAGAAAAATATTAATCGGCCAACTAAAAATATATAGAGAAAAAATTAGCCGGGCGTGGTGGCGCATGCCTGTAGTTCCAGCTACTCGGGAGGCTGAGGCAGGAGGATTGCTCGAGCCCAGGAGTTGGAGGTTGCTGTGAGCGAGGCTGACGCCACAGCACTCACTCTAGCCCGGGCAACAGAGCGAGACTCTGTCTCAAAAAGAAAGAAAAAACAATCCTGATCACACCATGACGTCCGGAGGTTATGGTGCAGAGTCCCATATGGGAAAAGAAGGACGGGGAATGCCCAGCACCTAGACCACACCTGACTGTGTTCAGGGAACTCCTCATCCTGTGATTTTTGATGCTTTCATGAAATCTTTCAACATAGAAGCAAAAACAGCTGGACATCCACCCCCCAGAGCCTCCTAATAGGTAGGGCCTGGGCGCACGACCTAGGCTTGGCCAGCCCTGAACCTAGAAGCAGAGACACGCAAGCAGAGCGGTAGGACACTATCTCGGGTGAGGGCCCTGGACGGGGCCCCAACGCCCAGAGGCAGTGAAGCCCGCGGTGGCGGAGTTGGTCCCAGGCTTCTGACCCCAGTGGGGTGGTTGGCGTGAGCACCACAGTCCGGGGTTTGGCAACAGGGTCCCCCCTACCTAGATAGACCTCAAGCTGCATCGTGTCTGGTTCCAAGTCTGAGGAAGCTGGTCCCAGGCAACATACCTACGTGGGTCACACAGACTTTGCAGACAAAGCTAGAAGTTGCCGTGTTTCCCCGAAAATAAGACCCACCCATAAAACAAGCCCCAGCAGGATTTCTAAGCATTTGCGCAACCCGGAAAATCAGCCCTAGTGACGGGCGTGGCTGCGCAGCGCATCTGCAAAACCCATGCGTGTGGTCGCGGAGCGGGAAAGAACCGAGCAGCCCTTCTCATCCGCCCGTTGAGAGCTCTAGTGCTCCACAGGAGGAGATAGGGGCCGTGGTTCTAAAGGAAACAGAGTCGCAAGACATTCAGGATGGGATTCGGGGTTCTGGAGAGTGAGGATGATGTTCCAGAAGAAGACACTTCACTCATTTGAATCAGTGGAGATGGTTGTACCGTATATAAAAAAAAACACATCCCTGAAATAAGCACTGGGTGTCTTCTTGAGGAAAAATTAATATAAGACACAGGCAGGTGTGGTCTAGGTGCTGGGCATCCCCGTTCTTCTTTTCCATATGGGACTCTGCACCATAACCTCTGATGTCATGGTGTGATCAGGATTGTTTGTTTTGTTTTGTTTGTGACAGGTCTCACTCTTGTTGCCCAGGCTAGAGTGAGTGCTGTGGCGTCAGCCTCGCTCACAGCAAACTCCAACTCCTGTGCTCGAGCGATCTCCGTGCTCAGCCTCCCCAGTATGGCATAACATGCAGCCACCTGCCCGGCTAATTTTTTCTATATATATTTTTAGTTGGCCAATTAATTTGTTTCTATTTTTAGTAGAGACGGGGTCTCGCTCTTGCTCTTATTTTCGGGGAAACACGGTAGATAGCTTAGAACGAGCTGTTGATATGACCAAAAGGGCTCCATGAAAGAGCCCAATGCAGTAATGACCTTAATAGAAATGTGGATGCAGAGAAGGAAAGCCTCTCTCTGCAGTAGCCCCATTGTCTCCGGAAACCGAGCAAGTCTGTGAGGACAAAGAACAGCCCCCTGCTGTTAGTTAGTTGCACACAAGATTACACGCTCCCTGTGAAGAGGGCTTACAAAATAAATCGCAAAGCTTGGTGCACGCATATAATTTCTCTTCCTGCGCTGTTATTTCATAGAGACTTGCCAAGGAGATCAATCCCTCCGTCAGAGAACTCAGGCTGTAAATCACCTTGGGGACACAAAACATCAATTTTATTTCAGTTGGTGATGTAAATGCTACTTCAAATTCCATCAGCTGCCAAAGCATCTTCACCACATGCCCTTCTGCAAAGCGGATTCCCCTGAAATATCTAACGGCCGCTAAGACAAGGGTTTCCTTCCGCAGTTGTCCGAGTGAATCATGCCGTGCTCACCGCCAGGCCAGGCAGCGGCCAACGGGAACAAGAAGCAGCAGCTCCTCCTGTTCTGTCATGTCCAGAGCACCTGAACTTAAGGCCCACTGGGGCCGCAGGAGCTATTTAGAGGCCCTCACCTGCCTCTTTTCCAGCGACGGGCAGAGAGGAGCCATCACACTCTCCCTCGGGTTTGGTTTCCTTCCTCACGGCTCGCTTGTGCTGCTCTTCTGGAAGATGCAAGAAACCCCAGAAGTTTTTCAAAGCCCAGAAGCAATGCTGATCTCAAATAACCTTTTCCATGTTCTCCAAAGCCCTCATCTCCCTCCTCCTCCTCCTCCACCTGGGCATCCAGAGTGTGCAGCGAAGCTCCAACTACCTCCCTGGGGCCCACGAGAGCAGGCGCGTTCAGCAGCTACGAGAGGATGTGAACTATGGTTTGAAAACAGCAAAAGGGTCACCGTGGGATAAACGTGAGCCACAACGCTGAGTGTTCAACCCTGTCCGACGAGCTCGCAGCTTGGGCCTCCTCTGAGTGGCGTGTGAGCAAAAGTGCATCCCACGGTGAACGAGGACTTTTTTTCTTCCTAAATTCCCAGTGAACTAGGCACCGTGTTTCCCCGAAAATCAGACCTACCCATGAAATACGCCCCAGCAGGATGTCTAAGCACGTGCGCCATCGAAGCCCTGCCCCGAAAATCAGCCCTAGTGAGGGGCGTGGCTATGAAAATCAGCCCTAGTGACGGGCATGGCTGCGCAGCGCATCTGCACAACCCATGCGTGTGGTCGCGGAGCGGGAAAGAACACGAGCAGCCCTTCTCATCCACCCCGTGAGAGCTCTAGTGCTCCACAGGAGAGATCAGGGCCGGTGGTTCTAAAGGAAACAGAGTCGCAAGACATTCTGGATGGGATTCGGGGTCTGGAGAGTGAGGATGATGTTCCAGAAGAAGACGACTTCACTCTATTTGAATCAATGGAGATGGTTGTACCGTACTTAAAAAAAATAACACATCTCCTGAAAATAAGCCGTAGGGTGTCTTCTTGAGGAGAAATAAATATGAGACCCTGTCTTATTTTCGGAGAAGCCCGGTACATGAACCTAGCATCACCACAACCTGCTTCCTGACCCATCCTCCTGTTCCGGGCTCTCTCTTGTCAAAGGTCACAGAGTTCACAAGCAGAGGAGGAGGGTGCAAACCCACGCAGTCTGCCCCCAGGGCCCCCGGTAATCTCCTGTCCTGAGCCGTCTCTTTGTTGTCCAAATCCAAGCCCAGCAGGGACCAAGGGAGCGTGACTGTCCGTGACATGAGGTGATGCATACGTTAATCAGCGTGACGTAGCCACGCCACAATGCGTGCATATTTCAAAACATCATGCTGTGTGTCATACATACATATACGTTTTGTCAATTAAAAAAAACAAATAAAAATAAAAATAAAAAAAAAACAAGAAACCATCAGCACAAGGGCCCCACATGTGTTTGCAGACTGAGGTCCCTAACCATATAAGCGACTCGTTCTTTTATGGAATCACAAGTATCATTTAGGACATTTTTGAGTTTTGCACCTGCTACGGCAATGAGGCCGCAGGTACGGCTTCACAGACTACGGTTTCTTTTGGAGAGAGAAGTATGTAGGTAGGATCTGCCCCTTAGGCTCAGAAATGCTGGCTCAGACAGCCTGACAGGAGGAAGATGCCACCTGCACTCTTGAAATAATATAGCAAAGGGACCAAGGAAGACACAGAGCTTTAGACACAGTGCCCGTCAGCAAGTGACACTACAGTTTTGGACACTTCTCTTTCTTTCTTTCTTTCTTTCTTTCTTTCTTTCTTTCTTTCTTTCTTTCTTTCTTTCTTTCTTTCTTTCTTCTTTCTTTCTTTCCTTCTTTCTTTCTTTCTCTCTCTCGTTCTTTCTTTCTTTCTCTTTCTCTCTTTCTTTCTTTCTACTTTCTTTCTCTCTCTTTCTCTCTTTCTTTCTTTCTTTCTACTTTCTTTCTTTCTCTCTCTCTTTTCTTTTCTTTTCTTTTATTTCCTTCTTTCCAGAGTCTCACTCTGTCACCCGGGCTAGAGTGCCGTGGAGTCAGCCTAGCTCACAGAAACCTCCAACTCTTGGGCTCAAGGGATCCTCCTGCCTCAGCCTCCCGAGTAGCTGGGACTGCAGGCATGCGCCACCGTGCCTGGCTAGTTTTTTGAATATATATTTTTAGTTGGTCAATTAATTTCTTTCTATTTATAGTAGAGATAGTGTCTCACTCTTGCTCAGGCTGGTCTCGAACTCCTGACCTCGAGCAATCCGCCCGCCTCGGCCTCCCAGAGTGCTGGGATGACAGGCGTGAGCCACCGCGCCCGGCTGCACACATGTTTAGACTGATAGCCTCCCATTCAAAATATGTCTGCTTATTGTAAAACTACTGCAAATGTTTTATTCCTCCAATGAAAAACCTACACAAAATATTTACTTTATACTCCTTTCTAACTAAAAGCCAGGACAGCCTAAAATTAAACAAAGGGTTAAGATCCCAGTTGTTTTTCTTTCACTAAAAACAATGCTGCACATAAATATTCATTAGCATGGATACTCGTTATTTATTGTTAAGTGGAAAACATAAGTTACCAAGCAATCTGTAACATATACTCCTCTTTTAGGATTAACATAAAATAAATATATATATGTATTAAATGGGGTAATAAGACAGAAGTTATTTCTTTACTTCTTTTACAACAATCCGTGGATAATTTTTGTGCGGTTGCATATTACACTTTTTTCATCCACGTAAAACGAAGATAGCAACGATGTTCCAGAACCCTTCACAAACTTAATTAAATAAAATGCATGCAAGAGACAGAGGATAAGACTTAATACCCAACTATCAGATGTATGATATAATGAAAACAATAGAATAGATTAGAGGACAAATGGAAAGTTGAAAAAGGATAAGGGCCTGGCAGGATGGCCCACATCTGTAATCTAGCACTCTAGGAGGCCGAGGCGTGGGACCAGGATCGACTCAAGATAGGTCTAAGGGATTTCGCCAACCAGAGCCTGAGCAAGAGCGAGGACCCGTCTCTACTATAATAGAAATAAATAGCCAGACAACTAAAAACATATAGAAAAAATTGAGCCGGGCACCGTCGGCGCGCCGTATAGCTCCCAGCTACTCGGGAGGCTGAGGCAGGAGGATCGCTTAAGCCAGGGAGTTGGAGGTTGCTGTGAGCCGAGGCTGACGCCACGGCACTCCAGCCCGGGCAACAGAGTAAGATTGTGTCTCAAAAAAAAAAAGTAGAAAAGAAGTCTGGAGGTTGTTTAGATTTCTGAATGTTCTATAAAACTGTGTGTTGCTTTCCCAAAAAGAAACCACCAATAATACATTTAAGAATCCCTTCTCGTTTTCAAAGTGCTGTCGGAAAAGTCTCTCATGACTAATAAACTTCAGAAAGGACGAACCCTCTTCCCATTCCGTCAAGTTAACTTCCAACTAACTAGTTCTTCAGGACTAGATTTATGTGCATCATACCTCTGCATTATAACCACCTTCTTCTTCTTCTTCTTTTTTAAACTTAAGGATAAATTGTGAACGTCTTTCTGTGCATATAAATATTCACTCACAACATCAGTGTTAGTAAGCAGAGATCTTTTTGTCACGTTCTAATAGTAACACAGGGGCTGTCTTTAGCTTATCATTATACACAAAAGTCCTTACAGATTCCTTGCCGCTACAAAATGGAAACATAACTTTTACAACAATACCACAATGTATCCCCAAAGGGAATACTTTGGTATAATGGAAGGAAAATATTTCACTGGAGACTATATTACATTTTAAAGAAATGTTACATTCTTTGCAAGGCAGTTTAAGTAGCTCGTTTTCTGAGGTTGCTATGTTTGCAATCTAAACAGCACTGCAAATACCTAGATCCTGGAGCCCGGAGAATTAATCTTTCCACCTTTTCATTCCCTTTCTGGGGACGGATTGGTGGCTTCCAATGTAACCCTTTTCCAAACACCCTTCCAAGATGCAAGAACAACTACAACACAAAAGATTTTCTTTAAGATTAATACGTGACTACAAGACAACAATGAATAGTTTTTTTTAAAAAAGTCTGCTGAATATTTACTAAGTTGGACAGATATTCTTAAGCCGTGTTCAGACTGTAAAACAGATTATAAAGTAGCAGCTCAATGTCATCCTAGTACCGTGTTTCCCTGAAAATAAGACAGGGTCTTACATTTATTTTTCCTCCAGAAGACACCCTAGGGCTTATTTTCAGGGAATGTGTTATTTTTTTTTTTTTTAAGGACGGTACAACCATCTCCATTGATTCAAATAGAGTGAAGTCCTCTTCTTTTGGAACATCATCCTCACTCTCCAGACCCCGAATCCCATCCTGAATGTCTTGCAACTCTATTTCCTTTAGAACCACTGGCCCCGATCTCTCCTGTGGAGCACTAGAGCTCTCACGGGGCGGATGAGAAGGGCTGCTCGTGTTCTTTCCCGGTCCGCGATGACAGGCATGGGTTGTGCAGATGCGCTGCCCAGTCACGCCCTCACTAGGGCTGATTTCATAGCCACGCCCGTCACTAGGCTGATTTGTTGGGTGGGGCTTATATTGTGCAAATGCTTAGAAATCCTGCTAGGGCTTATTTTATGGGAAAACTTATTTTCAGGGAAACACGGTATCTATATGTAGAAAAAAGGAAGGAAAAGAAATCCCAACATTTGAAAAGCTGCTAATTACAGAGAGAATTAAAACAGTAAATTTTATTTTCTTAACATTTTTTACTTAGTGGGAAAATCCTCTTTTTACTAGCCCCGTCTTTAATTCACATATGGACCCAACCAGTAGAACAGAGGCCCATAAGAAGAAATATCAGAAGTTTCGGCATCAATCACAAGTATTGATAGGTCCAGTCGTGAGGCCAAATGTTTGAAAATGATTTTCTCTCTCATAATGCAAGGGCAAATACAGTCCCAAAGCGGATGTTTAAAGTATTTAAATCATTGTGCAGAAGCTAAAATAATAATGCTTTACCCGGGAAACAGTCACAAATTTAGTAAAATCCAGAAGAGAGAGATGTTTATTATATATTGTATCTAAGCTTGCCTTAAAGTCTGAGAGAGATTTCATTCTGAATAAGGAAACTGTGTTCTAAATAAAGCTCCTTTCAAACAAGATGAAGATGAAACAAATACAAGGAGGGGTGGACTCCTGCACGGGGATGGACTTCTAA